GTTTTCACATCATAAAGTTGTAGGTTGGGAATTGCAGCTGTGCCATCTTTGAAGCAGTGTAAAGCCGCCACATTGCCACGACAGTGTTTTTTGGCCAGAACTCAAGGCAAACTGCCTTTGGGAGGTCGAGGAAGTTCAGTAGTTCCTTGTTAGTGACATTGATATTTTTTTTTTTCTCCGCTGCCCCAGGCAAACAAGGCCCCATGCTTACTAAACATATAGACTTTGCAATTTTCCCCAGATTTCCTTGGAAACACTGTGCTTTCTGTAAAATGTGGCGGTCCATTCACCATGCACAGTACTTTTGATCTTTGGATTGTCAGGAGAGGCATGGACGGCACCATGTTGTCTTGGAAAGTGAAAATAGTCTAAGATTTTTTTTTTTTTAGATGAGCCATCCTGCCACCTGTTAGCAGCTAAGTGGCAGCTCAGCTCTGGCAGGGAATCAAACTGGTGACCCTGCTGCTCATAGCTCACACCCTTGAGCTAGCTCTTAACCAACTGAGCCACTTGGCTGGCCCTAGTACAAGCTTTTGATGAACTAAATGATTGCCCATTTTTCTATAAAGTGCCATAAGTTCATTTAAATACTAAGTAAGCAGTGAATTCTTCTTTAAGATGCTCGCACACTCGTAGGGAAAACTAAGGATTGAGTAAAGGAGTTGAATATGGCTCACTGGTATGTTAATAACACATTTTTATGAAAGTAACCATATTTTCCCCAAAACATTTTCAGTAAGAATAGTGGCATTATTTTGCATTTTTGCAAATCTCTTAAACGTCTCTGGCACTTTTCCAAACTCGGTTCTCTCTTCTTCCTGCCACTTTCCTCCACTTGGGAACCAGTGGCGCTCTTACCTCTTCCCGCTTCACCTGACAATAGAAGAGTCTTTCCCAGTGTCAGTCTGAGACCCTCAACCCAACCTGCTCTGCTTTTCATTGCTGTTGGCCCACACAGATCACCTGTAGCACCTTTCAGGCATTGCTAGCAATTTCTGCTCTCTGCCATAACTCAGTTCCCCTTTTCTAGATGACAAATGCTGCCGCTTTTCAGTCTTTGCAATTCAACATCAGCATTTCTCTCCCCATCTCCTGTTCTGTGAATATGTTGAGTTTGGAGATCTCCAGTTCGCACAAGCCATGCTCCATTCATTATTGTATTTAAGGATGGGCCATTAGCTTTCAAAAGGGAGATTAGAAATCTTGCTTTCTTAGCCCACAGCTGCACCATCTAAGCCTAAAGATGCTGAAAAGATGACATTGAAATCTACTAAAAAAAGTGTAAATCTGAAACAAAATATGACTCAAAGGTATCTTTTCCTTGACTTTATGATGTTAAAATGTTACCTTTTTGGTACCTCTTAAGTTGTGGCATCATTTTGAGAGTATTCATTGAGTTTAAAGAAAAAGGAATTGAATATTTTAAATGTAGATGTGATGAGTTCATTAAAAGCCAAAAATTGATCATTACAGCTTTTCAAACCAGCAATGCAAAAGCTTTTGAAGTACCCTGCAGGGTAAGTGAAACGCCTAAAGAAAGGCGGATAAGCCTGTACAGCTGACGCTGCCAAATGTCTGCTGGATGGAGAGTCAGCAGAAGAAATCATAGCAGTACCACTTTCTAATAATGCAGTAGCTTGTCAAAGTAAAAATTCAGCTGCAAACATGAAGGCTGAGTTAATATCTTGCCTACAGATTTGTCTTACAAATGGACAAATCAATAGATATGGCTGGACTCGTTGTTTTGCTTCTTTGCATCCAGTATTACATCAACTAGTGAAAGATCTTCTTTCATGTGAATGCTTGGAAACAAACACAAGTGGTGCTGAAACAGGCAAAATACTGAAGAACGTTATTCACTCTCATGGTTGATTCTGGAGCGACTGTGTTCATGTTTGTGCTGATGGTGCGAAAGCAACAGTGGGTCAAACTGCTGGTGAGTTAGTATGAATCAGGGCAGTTGACACCAAAATGCACTGAAGTCACTGTGTTTTTCACTTCCACACAGTTGCAATCACATTATGGCCAGATTCATTTAAGGATGTCTTTGATGAAACAGTAAAAATCATCGCTTTTTATTGTCTTTATCTTTGAGTCCACATCTTTTTAATAGTCCGTGTGACAAAATGGGAAGTACATGTGCAGAAAGAACATCTGCCTCAAATCAAAGTCTAATGGTTGTCTAGAGGAAAAGCACACGTCTAACTAAGGTGCAAACTAAGCTACTGCTTTTTTCATGAAATACCATATTTTTGTTTGGCAGACATGTTACTGAAAATCAGGCTGCCACTACAAGGAAAATAACTTCAGTATCTGTTGTCAATGATAATATTCAAAGGAAAGTGAGAATTTTGGAAAACTATCAACCTCCATGAGCTTGTCCACTTCCCAAATGAGATATAACTCACAAACCATAAAACTCACTTTTTAGAAGTGTGTAGTTCAGTGTTTTTATACATTCACAAATTTGGACAACCATCGCCATTATCTGTTCCAGAACATTTCATCACCCAATGCCCAACGGTCATTCCTCATCCCCATCTCCTCCCAGACTCTGCAACCACTAACACACCTTCTATCACTATGGATTTGCCTATTCTGAATATTTCATATAAATGAAATCATGACAATAGTCACGTGGTGTCTTAAAATATTGTATGAAATGTGAAAACACTGGGAAGATCTACAAAACTCAGTGGACAGCACTATTTTCCAAATGACTAAAGCATTATGTTACAAAATCATAAATGGGGAAAAGATCCATTCAAAGTATAAAACAGGTCAATGACTTTTAATGTAACATTTTACATAAAGTTTATTGATATGGTGTCAGATTCCACACTGCAACTAACCTTTAGAGAACTACCACTTGTTGAGTTTTGGTGTGGTGGTAAAAGAAATCTACAGTTGTCTGAAAAGACTATTAAAAGACTCCTCCCCTCTCCAACTACATATAGGTATGAGGCTGAATTTTCTTAATATATGTCAATCCAAACCACATATCACAACAGACTGAATGCAGAAGCAAATATGAGAATCCAGTTGTCTTCTATTAAGCTGGATATGAAAGAGATTTGCAAAACGTAAAACAATGCCAGCATTCTTACTAAATTTTTGGGGGGCAAATATGGTTACCTTCATAAAAATGTGTTATTAACAGTGTAGCCTCATCATTATTTTAAAATTAAGTAATTTCTCAGTTTTGTTTTCCAATATGGTAAATATCAATAATGTAAAACTTACAAAAACAAAATATCTTTGGGTCTTCATTGGTTTTTAGGAGTACAAAGGGGACCCGAGACCCACGAGTTTGCATACTGTAAGTCTAGGACTTGTAGTCTGTATTTTTCACTTAACAAGCCGACAAATAGTGATAGTTCTTCAATTGTTTTACTGAACCTTTTCTGTGTCATTTATATTATCAATTAGTTTCATCTAAACAGGTTGCGAGTCGGATTTCCCTTAGCTTTTTATGGCATCGTCACTTTTAGTTTTTATTTTTTTTAAAGATTTTATTGGGGAATTGGGGGAGGTGAACAGTGTTGGGGAATCGGGGAAGGGGAACAGACAAGTTGCTGTCCTTTTGTTCTTCAGTCTAGTTGTGGAGGACGTTGCTTCACTGGCTCATGTTGGTATTATCATTGCGCTCTTCCTAGATGAGGCAGTCGCTCACCGGCCATTGGATGGCAGCTCACGAAAGCTCATGCCTGCTGCCGGCCAGCCCCACTGCTGCCTACCCCGTTGCCAGCAACTCATGGCAGCCCAGCTCCAGGTTGAGCTGTGTTCACCATCTTAGCTGTAGAGGGCACAGTGTCACTGGCTTTCATGTGTGGGATCTGAACTGGGGCTCTCCTGCTCAGAGCTGGCGTCCCAATCCAACACCTAACCAACGCGCCACTTGGCTGGCCGGTATAGTCACTTTTAGTGCTGTGCAGTAGCAGCTTACTTCTGCGTGCAGGCTACTTGGGGGCAGGTACTGGCATCAGCCTGCCTTGTTCATATACAAGCCCAGTTTACATTTGTTGATTGGAAAAGGACCGTGGGAACAGAAAGACTTAGTAAAGTAAAAATATTATATACTATGAGTGCTCCAAAGATAGTAATTGAACAGAATGTTATATAAAAGGAAATAATCAACATGAGAGAGTCAGGACAAGTATCTGAAATTGATTGGAGTGTTTTACTCTTAGATACGTTTAGAGTGGGTCTCCAATTTTAATGTGCATGAAAATCAACTGATAAACTTATCAAAAAGGCAGGTTTGTTTATTGGCTCCATCCCCCAAGATTCTAATTCATTAGCTTTTAAGTATCCCCAGGAATCTGTATTTAAAATAATCCTGGAAACAAGTTTTAAACTGGAAAAGCATTGTGTGCATAAGGAAAAGTCGTACCTACCTCAGTCCCCAAACTTTTCTCCCCAGTCAACTGCTGTTAATGTTTTCTTGTTACCTTTCAGAAATCTTCTGTACATATACAAGCCATATGAATAACCTTCTTTTGTTGTTAACAAAACACAGTTGGGAGCAAATCAACCATATTTATCTTGCTATTTTCTTTTAGCAATATATCTTGGATATTATTTTCTAATTTTATATATGGAGCTGTCTTTTTTAAAAAAAATGCATAAATACCAGGCTTTGTTTAACAGGCCCATATTGAGGGACATTTAAATTGTTTTCTTATTGTTACATAAGAAACAATAAATAAAAAAATCCTTGTTCATTTGTCTTTGTTCATATGATGGAAAAAAATTTAGAAATGCAATCACTAGATTACAAGGTTATGTGCATTGCAAATTTAATTGCTGGACTTGGCACTTTTAACAATCACCCTAGGTGATTTTCTCCAGGCGAAAGAGAAAAACTTCCTAGAGAAAAACTTCCAGGGGAAAGAATCAAACAGATAATCACCAGTTACACTTTAGGAGTTTTCCTCTTAAAACTAAGAAAACAGAGATTTTATATAAAAACTCACTGACCATCTTTAAACAGGACAAAATTTATTTAGTTGTATGTGAATAAAAATTACTTGGACATGTCAGGGGAAAACTACAAAGCACCTAACATAAATATACAATTAACCCTTTATAATATCTTCAATAAACTGTAAATAATAACATTTTAAACAGGAACTATTAATATATTTGCTGTAATTCTTTATAGCATTCTCTCTTATTCTAGTGTCAACATGAATATTGCAAGCAGGCTTTACTCTATTTTTGTAAAATGGGTACTTCTGACATGGTAGAAATTACCACTTCCATAAATACAGTAAGTCAACAAACAACTGTACAGACTGAACATGGGTAGGTTTACCTTTGACATAACCAAAGCCAGCTCATTGGATAAAAAGTTGATATTTCTGATTGCATGACCAGCAGTGCGAACATCAAAACGCATTGGCTATAGCACCATTCAAAATATTTAATACTTACTGCCTCTTGTTAATTTGGAGTTGTCAGAAAATGAAAGGAATGAAATCATGTAGTCAGTTTTAAAAACACACAACATGTTTTTCCATCTAATCATCTGAATTTTATGGTAAATATATAGATAGAGATACAGCATTGCCTCGGCATTTAAGTTTACCTTTATAAAAATGGATTCTTGAACAGCAGCCAAAGCTGTAACAATACCAAATTGGTCCTTGTGTTGAACCAAATGGAGCATGACATGCAATTATTATCTATAATAATTTGCAGGCAATTCTTGAATCATTGGAGGTACTATTGAGTGTGTATATTAGTCATGCTTTTGCTTCTCTGTTCCATTAGCTGCCTGTTATTATTATTGTTATTTTGAGGATCCCTTTCATTACACAACCCCTTCCCCCTAGATATCAGAGCAGGAAATAATGGAGATGAAACAAAAAGTGTTTTGTCCATGTAATCACTTGTTAACAGCTCTGAAGGGTTTGGTGGCGTAAGAGACTGGAAACGGCTAGAATTAGGCTTGGGGTAACATTCTGTGATTCTAATTACTGGTACCGTTCCTGCCTCTAGTTACCAAGGATAATTGAGAATGGTCAATACTCACTTTAGGTAAATTTGACCCAAAACACTGGCAATGATGTTAAAGGATTTTTATGTGTGAAGAGCAAATTGTGAGTAGAAATTTAAACAGTTCTGAAATACGTATGTGTAAACAAGTAAGGCAGCCAGAAATTGAAAAATGATTCTGGGAAGAACATTCTGCAGTCTGAAAACTGTTTGGCTTAGAAAAATAGAGATTTTAGAGAAAGGAAGAGCATTATCTGATGTCACGGATCACTGTTATCATCTGTATGAAATTGATCAAGAGAACTATTTTTACAATTGTGCAGAGCTCAGCCACTGGAAAGGGCTATTTGCTGCCACTACTCCAATGTCAGGTGCACAGACACCGAGACGAAGGGCACTGCGTTTGTAACCTCACAACTTGTAGCCTTCTATTCTGGATTAGTAACATGTTTTACCGATGGTTTGACTGCCAACTTCACATGTCAAGCTGCAATTAGTTCTCTTTTATTAACTGGACAGGAGAAACTCAGAAAAAAGTTTTATAGGCCCCAGATTGTGCTCATAAATGAAGAGGCCAATGATAGGAATGAAAGTGCTTGAATCATAGCCCTTGATTCAACAGTTGTATGTACAAATACAACTTTTGCTAAGGAAATTATTTACTTAGGCTTTGTCTTAAGATTCAGTTTATAGCTGGGTACTGTTGAATTAGGATTGATAGCAGAAGTTTTTCTTAGAGGAAGATTGGTAAACTATACTCCCTAGCTGCAGAATTCTTTTATAAAAATATAATTTTTTTCTTTAATTGTATTAAATGCATTACCTTTGAAATTGGAGCCAGCATTTATTTTATACCGGGAGAGCAATAGCTCCCTGTAACAATTAATTTCTGAAATCTAATCATACTCTTGTGCTTAAAACCCATTTAACTGTGAGTTTTCTAGAAGCACTTTATTTTCATCTTACAAAGAAGTAGTAGTTGGATTGAAAAGCTTTCATTCCTTGTCTTTGTTTTAAAAGCTGTATCTGAAATCCTAGTCCCAGCAGACGGCGAGAGAGAATAGTTTTTACAAGGGCATTTCTACCAATTACTTAATAGGCTGTCTTTGAAGGACATTGTCATCTCTAAAATGTATGTAGTTTTTAATACCGTCCAGCATTGCTTCTCCCCAAATGGAAAGGCAGCGCTGCTTTTAAATAAAGCAATGACAATGGCATTTACAAATGACAGTGACAGTTACCATACAAATCGCTTTCCCACGATATGTCATAGGCTCCTCACAGCAACCATGGGAGGTAGGCATGAGTACCACAAAGAAATCCTACATGAAACACAACATGACACTAAACACGTGTACCACCCACGCTTTTTTTTCTCGATCGTTGTATAATTTGAATACACGGTTGAATGAGTAAAAAGAGTAATCCTACCAGGTAAAGTAAACCACATATATAGAAGGAAAAATCATATTTTTGTGTGATGTCGTAGATCCACCCTACAAAACAAAAAAAGAATATATTCAGTGTAATGTAGTTGATAAAACAAAACCAAGAACACAAAGCAAGCCTTTATTACTAATATAAACATTTCTATAATTTATATATATGACATTTAATGCCCCAAACATTTCATTTAGCCATTTTTAAGTCCGGGCTATATAAACCAGAGTTTTCAGCATATAACTGAGGATGGTTATGTTTATCTTTTAAGCCACTAGGATAGAACTTTCTAAGGCATATTAATTGTGCCTGGGCCAATCCAGGTAGTAATAAAGAAAAACAAAGAGTCGGTAGCATTATACATTAATGACTTTTTAACCACTCAAAAGCTATGAATTCCGGGTATACTTTAAAAGTCAAGGTTTTGAATTTGTTCTTCAATATAAAAAAGAAGAAAATATCAAACTCTTCAGATATAGCTTAATACACTGCTCTACCATTTTTTTTAATCTCCAATATGAGACAAGAGGAACAAAGAAGATTAAATATATAATCCCAAAATATTGATTCAGCTTCGGAACTGAATCAGAAAGGCCCTCTGACATATGAACAAAAAACACACCCAACTTCTGCTCAGTGTCACCATTTGTCAACTGTGACTGTGATTGTGACCAAGTGGATGATTTGCATGCAGGTAACACAGAGAGGTCTGTATGTGTAAGCAGAGAATATGATGGGACTATCCTTAAAATACAACTAAATGAAAAATCAGTAACTATAAATGAGGTTCGCATAGTCCACTCATCCCATAGGAAAGCTGATCTTGTCATTTTAATAAGTAAGTCCTCCCTTTGCATACATTCAAGTGACTAAGAAGAGAAATGATGGCTCTAACTAACAAACACAGATAGCTGAAATGCGCTGAGCTACCATTGCTGCTTAACACGAACCTCAGAAATAGAACAAAATCCTAACTGACTGGAAAATTCATTTGTATTTAGTTCAGACTGTTTACTTTTCTTGTCTGGAGTGGCTGAATCTGCGCTCCAGAGCTCTGCGATGTTGCCCCTACCCACCTCTCCGCTCTACTGCCCGAAACTTAACCACAAGCACAGCCATGCTGAATGTTTTGGAGTTTCAAACACATTTCTCTTGGCTCCTTGTCTGTACATGTACTTTTCCCCCTTCTTGGGGGGATACTAATACACACGACCACTCTTAGAATACTCTGGCATCTTCCCACCACGCCATTCTCCTTCTGGTCCCTGCAGACTATAGAAAATGTCTGCTAAGTCTATTACATATTGTTACAGTCTTAAATTGAATTCATTATACTCAAAATCATGTACCTTTCCCTTAAAAGTATAAACGTCTGTAAAAAATATCTCCACACATTCCAATCTTTAAAAGTAACTCATGTTAATTTTTTAAGAAGAGAACCCAGGGGTAACTGGTTAGCTCAGATGGTTGGAGCGTGGTGCTGATAGCACCAAGGTTGCTGGTTTGATCTCCGCATGGGTCACTGTGAGCTGTGCCCTCCCTAGGGGAGTCAGCTGTGCCACTGTGACATGAGAGCAATGTGTAACCAATGACCATGGCTGTTCCCCAATAAAAAAAAAAAAAGAGCACCCAACTTCACCAAATAATTTAACAACACAAATTGGAGGAGGAGTCCCCAATTTTATGTTAAATTAATCCCATAGGTTTCTCCAATCTACCTTTAGATTTATTTTATTTTTTAAAATTTTATTGGGGAACAGCCATGGTCATTTGTTATACATTGCTTTTATGCTACAATGGAATAGTTCACTCTTCTAAAGAGGGCGCAGTTCACAGTGGCCCATGCGGGGATTGAACCGGCAACCTTGATGTTATCAGCACCACACTCTAACCAACTGAGCTAACTGGTCAACCCCTAGAATTTATTTTTAAACAACTCCTGCCATCTCTCTCTGGTGCCTGTTTTAATATTTCCACTAGTTGGATCTCAATTGGTCCTGAGTCAGATGCAACGCAGGTCCAGAGAGATGGTACCTAACCACGTGTTTGACTCAGCATGTGTGGACAAAACTTCAGAGACAAGACATTTCAGACAAGCTGCCTGCCTCATCTTCCTTCACTACCTTTCCCTCCAGGTCTGATCTCCGTTCCTTGGTTTCCAACCTGGGATCCTTGGCAACCCTGATCCAACCATCAATTCAAATCAACAGCTTCAAAGTAAAATCTGGCTCTCTATTAAATTGCATTGCCTTTTCATTTGAGTCTGTCAAATGATGAGTGTCAGCTCTTTTTCTTACTTATGAAATGTGTTCTCAGCTCTTGGTGAAAAACACTGCAAATTGTTGTTAGGGTGTTATAGTTTATGTGAATGGAGGCGATATGTGTAAATTCTGGGTCAGTAAAATCTGGTGGCTAAGTTTTGCTATATTTTATACTGGAAACATCTAGAAAAGTATCTACTATTATTACATCTTTAAAGGAGAAGAACCGAATGCCCAGCAAAAACACAAATGAATTAGATCAAGGAGTTCATGTTGCTAAGTGTCATGGTTGAAATGTTTGTTCAATATCTCTGTACATTCTTGTCTTAAGTGGCATGCTACTAAATTGTACAAGATTTTTTTGATTCAATAGAAACTGCTTTGAAAAATGAAAAACACATTCATTTCTAAACCCATTAAAAAAGAAGAAGGCAATGTGAACAGTAATTTTCCTTGTAATAAACCGAGCTAAGTAATAATTTGTAGCCCACCTAGAATTTCTAGCAAGAATTTAATGTGGTTATTTGGCCCCTTATATTGCCAATCACTTCTGAACTACAGAGGATAAGGGCTGGGCTGCCTCTCACTGGCCTGGAAAGTCAATGGATTAGACACATTGTAGTTAGCCAGGGATGTTGGTCAGCATTCCTTAGGGAGTGAGTTCAGTGGAAGGAGAAGAAACAAACAGGAGGAAATCCCTCCTTAGGCTGCTGGTCTAGAGATGCACATCAGAACACTGATTTTAGAGTCCCCACAGTAGCATTTGACACATTCATAGAAGGTTCTTAACCATTAATACAAGTTTCTATCATCATGGTGGATCACATTCAGCTAGAGAGTCCACTTCTAGGGAGGGACCTTGAAGCAGGCAGAGACATCGCCTGATAACAGAGGGCTGGACATAACTCCCTGTCTTCTAGTTGCAATTCATTTCTCTTCCACTCAAGAAAGTATGACCGAATGAAAATGAGTGACAAGGACATGACCATAGGAATGGGACAAGGAAACCATGCTGGCAAACTTTGGTGCTTTAATTAACACTGCTGGTGAGTTACTTATGTTGTACCTCACAGCTATGTTATGATGCTGCTATTGAAATCTGATAGATCAATACAAAAACAACCCCAGAAAGCAGAAAGTATCCCGGATTATGCAAAGAACTGTCAATGAAGATTCCATTTCCACATACAATATATGAGCTGAAGGATCTCCAACAAGAAGGTGGATGAGCCACTGATACACTGATAATGCACTCATCCTCTTAATGGATATTTCTGTTTAGCATTTCTGGAAGGTACCTTTATTTGACTGATACAACCCTAATCCATTTTTTTTCACTTTTCCTTCCTTTAGTATGGAAGCTAAAAGGCAAAATACTCCAATTCTCAGTTCCCCCTGAAGCTTGGGCTGTGTGACATGGTTCTGGCCAATCGTATAAGCGTAAATCGGCTAGGACTCAGCCTTTCCTTCTTTCTTTCTTTTTGCTATAAATGAGGATGCTGTGGCTGGAGCTACAGCAGCCATTGTGTGACCATGAGGTAACTGAATCAGGAAAATGCCAAGAGGATCTTGGAGATACTGTCCCAATATCATCTAGTCCCTGAACTCTAGATTCCTGGCTATATAACACAATTAAATCTCTTTTTAAAGCTACCATTGGCAGGCTGTTCTCTTATAGCCAAATGCATCCTTAAACTGATAGAGAATTCCATACAATGAGACTATTTTGTAGATAAGGATCAAAAATTCATCTGCATTCTACATGGAGGAATGCCTTTAACTTGCTAAAATTTACAAGTGAGAAATTGGGGGTCTGGAATGGGAAGAAAAAAGGAGCATGTACACAAATGGAAACTTCCTTCTTATTAATCTTGGACTTCATAACATAGCTGAGAACACAGGCTGACAATCTCCATGCACTCTAAGCTTTGAAACCTTGTGTGGCTTACCTGCAAATGGTGGTCCCAGCAGCGCGGAGATGCCGTTAGCACAGATGATGATGCCGTAGGCATTGGCCAGGTGTTCAGTCCCCACCAAGTCTTCAGTCACTACCGGCATGAGGGAGAAATAGCCACTGGAAAAGCCTATCAGCGCGCAGATGACCGCCAGGCCGGCGTACGTGTGCATCAGTGGCAGAATGAAAATGCTGAGGACGAGGGTGAAGTTGGCCATCAGGAAGACGTTCCAAACGCTGATGCAAGGTAAGTCGGCCACCGCACCCAGGATCACCTTGCCAAAGATGTGAACTATTGCTATAATTGATGTCAGAGGGAAAACATCGTTCTGCTCCGATAAATTATACAAATCGACTATTTCTGGGAGGTGAATGAAAGGGATGACAAAGCTGCTGTATGCAAACAAGGCCCAGAAAATAAAGGCTACAAACATTCGATTGGTAAAGAGTGAGGCTGCCCCAAAATAGCCCGAGTACCAGTCCTGGAAGCCCTTCCTGACCCTCACGGTCAGCTGGCTCACGGTCTTCAGAGCCCGAAAGGCACACAGATTCTTCCGGGGCCCCGCCTTTTCTTGGCACGACTGGGCCGCAAGGTCATCGAGGGCCTCCTCGTGCCCGGGACTGCCCTCCTCTTCTGCCCTGCCCAGCTGTCCACTTGACTTAACGGATTCGGTGGAGTGAGCCGGGAGGACTTGCGGATCTGTCCCCACTGGGTCTGTTCCCTCCTTCCCAGGAGAGAGGGGCCTCATGAGCGCGCCACAGACACACAGGTTTAAGGAGACGGCGCCTTGGATAAACATTGCGTTCCGCCACCCGTACTCAGCGCACAGGTACTTCAGCAAGAAGGTCATGAGGAAGGTGCCAAAGCCCGTCCCGGTGGTGCTGAGGCCCTGGGCAAGGGCACGTCTCTTCTGAAAGTACCTTCCCACCATGACCACGGCCGGGAGGTAGGCCATCCCGCTCCCAAAGCCTGCGCAGTTGAAAGAGGAAGAAAAAGCACATAGCACAACGTGAACAGCCATATCCAGAATTGGCAGCATTTAAAGATCATCTGCATGTCATTAAATTCATCTCTATGCTCTTTTGTTAAACAAAGAAACAATAATGATTGTAAAAAAAAATGCCCCTCGCGAGTGAGCACCAAGAGGGTCATCCTCTCAAGTTTCCAGCCCATCATTTCCCCCAACATGCTTTGCGGCAGTTTACTGCAGTAACGGAATAAGTCCCATTCTCACCTCAGAATGTAGTAAATTCCAGGGCAGGGCTGTGTCTGTATTTTCACCCCCACTAATGCCGCCTGCTGCGCAGAACACGCTAAGTGTGCTTGGTGATCTGCTGACAGAATGAATGGGTTCTGAGGGCTCTGCTGTCAGGGCTAAGTGCACACCAAATACCCAGGAAAGTATTTATCTACAAGGGAGGAAGAGCTGCCTGCAGGCAATTTGCAGAAGCCTCAGGGAGGGGCCAATCTATTCACAAATTAATTGGAAGAATAAGAGGGATTATAATGTACCCATAAATATATGTAGCCACTTGATGCCAAAATCACATAACATTTATTTGTATCTGTGATTTTTAATTGTATCTTTCTTAGCAAATAGGAACACTTTGTGATTTATACGGACAAAATTAAAATGCTGGTGGGGGTGTGTGGTGTGTGTTGGGGCTACAGGGTTTGGCGAGCTCTCTGTACGTGCTCCTTGATTTTGCTGTGAACCTAAAACCGCTCTAAAAAAAAATGAAGTCTATTAAAAAATAAATGGAGTGAAATGAGATAAGTAAAATAAAATACTGGCCAAAAGGTTGTGGGTTGTGTTCTCGACTTCTAGGCACAGAGGGAAGCCATGAACTCCATTTCACTGATCATGGGGCCCCATTTGGACCTGCCAATGTTAGGATGAAAGAGACTGGCTAACACCACTCCCCAAAGTGGAAGCCTCTCTACTTCAGCATCATTTAATCGTTTCAGAATTACTTTAATATGGAAGGAGACCGGAGTGATCATGCATGCAAATGTAGGAATAATTACCAGTAATTGAGTGTCCACGATGGGCCAGTTGCTTTACAGGCTTTACCTGACTTAATTTTCACAATAACCCTGAAATCTAGCTGTGGTTATGCCCATTTTATGAAAGGAGGGATTGAACCTCATGGAGATTAAGTTACTTTCCCAAGACCCTGTAGCAGGCAATTGGACAATTCAGACCCAGTGTCGGAGCCTGGTCCCTTTCCGTTGCCCATGCTGCCTCCCACACTGCACTGCTCACCCCCCAGCTGCCTGCGGGCAGCGGCAAAGGGATTTTGCTTATTTATTGGGTGCGTTGTTTCTGACCTGACCCCTTCTCCCCTTTTGCTAGGCTATAAGCTCCCTGAGGGCAGGGATCTTCTGTTTCGCTCACTAATGTATCTCTCCCAAGCACCTAGAACAATGCCTGGCATATAACAAAGGAAGGAAATACATGAAAGAGAGTTTTATGGGGAGGTAAATGGTCATATTTTAAAATAAGAGCTGCCTTTTTCATACATGATTAATTTTACACTTCCATAGTTAAGGTACATAAAACCCAGCTGCAAAATAGTTGTATCAGTGGCTATTTTGGGGGAAAAAATTATTTGTTAAAAAAACAACAACCAAGAAATTCTTCAATATTAAATATTGTGGTACAGAATTATTGCCCTGTTCCATATTATTTTGAAGCAAATCCTGAATGTATCAATTCATGTGCGAATGTTTTAGATTTCTAAATATCGATTAAGATCAAACAACATCCTATCATTATCTTATTTGGAAAAATGAACAATTCCTTGACATTTTGAAACATCCAGGAGGTGTTCAAATTTTCATTTGTCTCATAAATTTATATATATATATATATATATATATATATATATATATATATATATATATATATATGTTGTTGTTTTTTTATTGGGGAACAGTGTGTTTTTCCTGGACCCATCAGCTCCAAGTCAAGTAGTTGTTTCAATCTAGTTGCGGAGGGCACAGCTCAGTGGCCCATGTGGGGATCAAACCGGCAACCTTGGTGTTATGACCACTGCACTCTAACCAACTGAGTTAACCGGCCACCCCTAAATGACTATATTTTTAAAAAAATAAGTCAGGATCCAGGAAAGGGCTACACATTGCTATTTGTTGATTTGTATTTTAAGCCTCTTCCATCATTGGCATGACTATTACATGAGCTGATAGGAGAAGCTTTGATGATGTGTGGGCTCAAGCCCACCAGTCAGTCAAAGCCTTGCTAATGTCCAGCCTGTGCAGGGCCCTGGAATAATTCTTCACAACACTCAGGTTTAGAGGAGGGTTTTACAGCCGGGTCAGTGGGTAGAAGAAGGAGGCTCAGAGGGGAGAGAAAATTCTGTGGTCCTGGGTCATCATGGCTCGGGGAGAAGGTGTCTTCAGGAGCCAGGCAAAGACACTGGAGCTCTGGCAAAGCTGAAGAATTGTGTCCAGACTCCCTTGGCTAAGTAAAATTGCTCAAACAGACATTAATTTTCTGCTTAATAGGAGGACATTCCCACACAATTTTAATTGCCTAAGTGATAAAATAAAGAAAAAAAGATATAAACAAATCTGCCTGAAATGCTTTTAGGAATGAAGAATGATATCAATAAGGTTTGTTTCAAACATTCATTGTACAGTGATATAAATATATATAAATCACTTGCCTTCTGCAGATTTTTGCATCTAATTTTTTCTTTTCTATTAAAAAGGGGCTAGATTGACAATCAGCTTTAACATGCTTCACTAATGACAGCCCAACAGCATTTTGCATACATAAGCTAACTGATTTAGCTGAAGTTCCCACTTAAATGTAGTTATATATGTATTTGTGGGGGAGGTGGAGGAATTTATTTTCAGTCTTTCTTTGGGTTTTTCCTGTATAAAACGTGGGAAGCAATAAAGTGTCTCAAGAAACACTTTCATCAGCCTCCTAATTTTCTTCCCACTTCCTTGGATCCATAAATATTTGTTGAATAAGTAAGTGAATGAATATGGAGATACTTGATGATCAATGAGCAATTAATTACAAGAAATAAAATTCCATTTAAACAAAGAAGCTAACCATAGACATCTCTAAACGATCAGAGTATATCTCAAGCCTCAGTTATTAGGATCAAATCATGGTCCATATAACCAAACACCACTGGTCAGGTTCATGGGCGGGCCCATGTGTCTGCCCAGAGGCCCCAGTGTGCCTCCTTCGTCTCAGCAGAAGGCCTGTTTATTTCCTCACCTGGTATACAAAAATCCCAGTGCTAGCTCTATCCATTGGACTGCTAGGGGGAGAAGTTTCTAAAACACTCAGGGAAAATATCTCAAGTTTTTCTTTAAGAGCTATCAGATCCTTCAAAACAATGCTTCCAACTATGCTTCAAGAAGGATACAGAAGCGCTTTTGGTATTTATGGGGATAGATGTACTGGTACATTACAGAGAACCAGCTTGTTGACTTAACACGGACAGTAGGTTTTTGTGTTCACCATCTCCTGCCATCCTAAAGCATATACGTAAGTTTATAATACAATAAGAATGTTATATTATACAGTTGACCCTGGAACAACATGGGGATTTGGGGTGCTGAAAATCTGAGTATAACTATTGACACCCCTAAAACTAACAATTACTAACAGCCTACTGTTGACTGGAAGCTTTACAGATAACATAAACAGTCAATTAATACATATTTTGTATGTTATATGAATTATATACTGTATTCTTACAATAAGAGAAAAGAAAATGTTACTAAAAAAATCATAAGGAAGAGAAAATACATTTACAGCATTTATTAGAAAAAAATCCACGTATTTAAGTGAACCCACATAGTTCAAACCCGGGTTGTTCAAGGGTCATCTGTATATATAATAACAATGATATATTAGCTAATATTTACTGAGCACTTTAGTATGTGCCCAGACTTTTATATAGATTATCTCATATAATCATTGCAACAACCCTATAAATCAAGCACTCTTAATTATCCCATTTTGCAGATAAGGAAACTGAGGCGTAAGTAGGGTAGGTAATTGGCCCAAGTTGCACAGATAGTAAGTGGAAACAAAGAAAGAATTCCAAACTCTAACTTTTAACTCCCAGTCTAACAGTGCTGTCAATGGGTCATTTATTAGGACTGCCAGTCTGTACTCAAAAAGAAAGTCAGGCTGGATATGGTTCACTGAAATAAATTGTACAAGTAAGAAACTGCTTCATAGCTGTGTGAATTCTGCTACCTGTTGATAAAGGAAATTATGGCTGGGAATATATTTGGCAGAACGGATATGCAAATCGCACTGCCGGGCAGCCGATTTTTCCCTCCTCACTGGGCACTGCCACTCCAACTGTGCTCTAGATTTGCTTCTTAGGGTCTCTACATGTAGGTGGGTTTTCCTGCTATTTTATTAATCTGAATGGGGCTGAAGGAGAAAATGATTATTTTGTGATTCATGCTCAATTCTGCAGTTATTAAATGAGAGAATGTTAGTTTCTTTAATAATAAATGAGAGAAATTTTACTAATTTCTTGGTCTATTCACTTATATCTGTATTTTTACCTTCCTTTTCCTGTTCCTCATAAGAGAAAAAATAGCACTTAGAAGCAGGTATGGAAAATTTAATCAAATCCTATTAGCGAGGCCAAGTACGGTTAGGTTGTTTTGACTTGAGACATGTTTAATACCTTATATTAAAAAGTATTTCCTGGAGGATAAAATGGGGGCGGGGTGGAGGAGACAGAAGGACAAAACATTTTAATGGGTCTCTTTTCTGCATGATTAAATTTGTTGCCAAAATGCCCAATAAAAACATTTAAAATCAGGTTAAAGTAAAATCAATATGCTTACCAGCTGTCACTCCGAAGGTAATAAAGAGATAATGCACATTTGCAGCGTAGGCACTTAGCACCCAGCCCAGCGAGTTCACGAGCCCTCCTATTATTGCTGTCCGGCGGCAGCCACAGGTGTTAATGAACAAGCCAATGAAAGGACCTGTCACAGAACATTGAAAAAGAAGCTGACTAACAGCATTTTACTTTCCTGCTTTCTTAGTAAATCCTCATATGAAGACAAAGAATAAAACACTGCTAGAGCTGTTACATAAAACACACCGAAAACCCCATTGCTTAACATGCAAAAAGCTGTTAGCATGCAAACATGGATTTTAATAAGTTCGCTGCAGAGAACAAGATTCTAGGTTTCCAAGGAAGGAAAACCTGAAATCAAGAGACAAATTGGTTCACTCTTGTCTACAACAGAGGCCCTAAACTAGTGGTATAGGGGCTCTACTTAGCCAGTGGATGCATTTTTTTTTTAATCTCAAAGTTTAAAAAATGTTTTGAATCAGTTGCCACATGTAAAAATTAAGAGAATTCACAAAAAATTCAGTGGTAACCTAAAATATCTTCCCACACGGCCCAAATCAGCTGGAGCTATGCAGTAGCTGATCCCGTTTAGTTGCATCACACCCTCTCTAGCTTGCTGCAGTCTCCGCCCTTTTGTCTCATCTCTGGCCTCCTGCCCTCACTTACATTACTTGTTTGGCCTCTGTACACATTTGAGTTTTTGACTCCAGAGCTAAAGGGAGTACAGGAAGGGGTTTCTGAGGACTCCCAGGCTTTAGGCAAGGAAGCTATGGCCTGTTTTCATGAGGACACACAGATGCCAAGCAAGCTGAAAAGGACTCATCGTTGCTTCACACGTACTTCAGCCCCTGCTGACTCTCAGCCCCAGACATGACCCATCAGGCTGTGCATTTATGACACCACGTGGAGATTCAGGAATATACTTGGCTGTGTGCAAGATATACTCACAGCAGTACCGTATTATACAACACGCGTTCTGATCGCTTACTGCACTAGGACACTTTAGTTCTTGTCGACTCTTTTTTTCCTTCCTGATTTGGTGGTAATTTCTGATGTCATTGGAGCTTAACGCTTGCCTTGTGATCGATGATTCTTCATCCATATAGCAATCCAGATTTTAGCAACACAGTATGAGGCTGTACTCAGTAGTCAGTAAGATGGTGCATTTTAAACACCATCTTATTTTTGATCATTATTGCTTCACATGTTATGAAACCCTAATCCAGGTGGGACTATTTCAGGTTAAAAACTTGTTGAGCTCTAAGGAGCGGCCCTTTTGGCCCAAACTGAAATAAAAATTTCCTGTAAATTTCTAACTATATTCATGAGCATCTTTGAGTATACAGCCAGTTAAGAGTTTTTTGTTTTTAGGGATTTTTTTTTTGTTATTTTAATGATTTTGAGAGGGCCTAATCCTAAAAATTATGAAGGTAAACACTTATTCATTTAATTAATTCTGTCACATTACAGGAAATAATTCAGTAGACAAACATCTTAGAATATATTTAATATAGTAAATATAGTCTACATCCTTATACTGTTATAGGTATTATAAAATAAGCACGTCATATAAATAACATGTAAATGAGGCACACTGGTATAAACATCTGAGGGAATTATTAGGGACAACTAAAATTCAGAAACCGTTAGTTGAAGATATTTTTTTGACTTCTTTACAAATATTTTAAACCCGCGGTCACTTTACTACTCAAATCTTGGGTGAATAAATAAAAAAGAGAAAAATGCATGACTCATCGTTTCACTGTTAATAGGCCTTTTAGGATATGAAAGGTCAACAAATCACAGTTGAGTAGCACGATCATATTTTCCACATTACAGAAGGGCCCAGAAGCAAGTATTTCTGCAGCACTGCATGCTCATGAAACACTGCATTAAGGACGCATTTGAGGAAAAAGAGGGGCAAATTCCCAAGCGGAGATATACTTGTCTGGAGGAATGTTACATATCAAAAAGAAAGTATGAATTGCTCTACTGATAAGAATATGAAGTTGATAATAGTGTCTGGCTTTTTTGTCCATCAACCCTTCCCCAAGGCATGCTGCAGCTTCAGTCATTTATGACTTGCAGATTGGGCAAAGTCAGACCCAGAAATGCCATTATTCCTCCTGTTACAAAACAGAGATACGTCAAAAAATAAAAAGGGAAGTCGGGCCCAAGCTTTCGTGTTGTTTCATTTTCTAACCATTGTTTACTGATGGTCAGTGGCATTGCACTGCCATTTCAACAAAATGAAAAGAACTCCCCAGGCAATCTGAGAGGGAGAAGGTAAGATTGAGATACAGTGCTTTGGCTGTGAGTCTCACTTTTGGAGAGGAACTCAGCGTTTTGGAATGAGATTAATCTCATTATCAGACTGTCTCCTTTTCAGAAGGAAATCTGAATCTTAGCCCATTTCCCACATAATAAGGTGTTACATTGTTGCAGGGAACACCCTGAGGAAGTCATAATTTCTTGCCCAAGCCAGCATCTCATAGCTTGAAAAAAGCTTAGGTGAGGAGAGAATCAACCTGAGGTGAGCTTTGGCATAGAGTCATGGATGACAGTAGGTAGTCCATTGAACTCCTGGTCTCGGAGTCACAACCTCCCTGCAATAAGGCGTTAGGAGCCTCTACTCAGTGGCTCTCTGCCTTGGCTGTACATTGGAGTCACTTAGGAGCTTTGAAAGAACAAACAAAAAAACTCCCACAAAATCCTGATGCTTGGGTCCCATCCCAAGAGATTCTGATGTAATGGTCCAGGTGCAGCCTGAGCATTATGGTTCTTCAAAGTGTCATAGTGGCTCTGACATGCAGCCAGGGTTGATAACCATGGCTCTAAATCTACTTAGCATGTCACTGATCTTTTGCAGCCCATAGAGTCCTCTAACAACATGGCTTCCACCAAGGACGATTCCAAGAGTCATCACAAAGCCTACTGTAACTGTGACTCAGCGATTCCGTTTTGTTAAAAACTAGAACCTTCTGTAGGAAACTGGCAAAACCCATGCTAGCAAAGAATAAAACAAGACTTAAATGATTGAATTTCCCATGCACAACTCACTGCCCGAGAGGTGTCTTTCAAGTCTGTAACATAATTCACAAATTTTTAAAAATTTAAAAGAGGTCACCCAATTATGCTTACAGTGATTAGAAAATGAAAGCAACTTATATTTATTCACTTCAAACATATTTTCAGTTCTCATTTGACGTAGTGGCAGGCAGTGTGGTACGATACAATTTTGTAGTAGTAGATACAATTTTGGAGTCCAATGGACTAGGTTTAAACCTGCCCCACACTTACTGGTTGTGCAACCTTCAGTAAGTTACTTAATGTCTCTGAGCGTTGCGTGTTCTTCCTGCCAGATGGAGATGATGGTCTGAACTTAGTGTTGCTGTAGCATCAAATGAGATCATGCACATAAGATGTACTTGGCATGCAGTGCGTGTTAAACAAAGGAGAGCTGTTCTTGGTGGCTCTGACTTAGAAAAACACTCAACACCTCTGTAGCCACCCTGTACTGGGCAGCTTAAGATAATGAACAGCAATTCAGAGTCATGATAGATAGAATAAAAGACCATTCGTTTATGTAACTCTGAGCCTTACTGTGTTATGAGTTTTGAGCCCCAGAGCAAAAGATGTTTATCTGGTGGGCACCTTTCCTGTAGAAAGGTTAGTCTACAGCCTGAAACTCCACTGTCTGGAATTTGGGGACTCTGGATTCTCAAACAGACTTTTGAATACACAGTTACCTCCCAATTAAAGATGACCATTGCATTCCACCATCACTATGAGCTAAGTGTTTTTTTGGGGGTCATCTTTAAAACCATATCCAAATAATTTCAGGACTGGATTCCACTGCTTATTTCGGTAGAAACTGTGAAACATAAAGTAATATCTAAGACAACCTTACTGGATGGTTTGGAAACTATTGGGACATTTCACATTCTGGCTTTTTGCTGAGTCTTTTTTGTTGTAGGCACACACTTCCTAGACTGAATCTATAAATGTTTTTTTTCCACCCACTAAAAATTTATTTTAAGAAAACTGGATTGTAAGTATTCTAGAAGCAAAGTTTTCCTTTACTTATTTATTGAGAAGGAAGAATCACATCCCATATAAAACTGGCACATTCCCGACACTGAAGTAAACCTACCTGCATTCTTCATACGACAGACAGTCCTAGTTTTAACAAGGCCAACGCAGGGTTGAAGGAGTCAGTTGATTCATCTTATGGGCAAAAATGATTTCTCCCCAATTCTCACACACACAGAACGGTATCCTTATTTAATTTTAAAACTAGATCAGTATTAGTTCCCTTTGATAAACACACACACCCCACACACATCTTGAGAAATAAAACTTGGTCCTTGTTTTCTATCATCAGAACTACTGCTGTTATTAATGTCATGTATATTATCCAAAATAGCATCGACTGAATGCCAGCCAAGATCAACAAATCTCGGAGTTGGATTCAAACAATTAATTGCTAGTGTGGAAATCACTGAAAAGGCACAGACTCCTATCACACACACACACACACACACACACACACACACACACACACACACACACGCTTGTCATACACACACTTTCCCAAAACCAGAAAAAGATTTGAGGCCATTTCTGTTTTTAGTATAAAATATATCACAAACACTTTAAATAAAAAAAAATTGATGCAAAAGTATGGCTGTTACTTTCAAGTGAAGCAAGTGAACAACATTAGGGTACAGTGGTAGATTGTTAAGAGAATTTAAAAAAATTAAATGAGATAATGTAAGGGAAAGCACCTGGTACATAATAAACACTTACTGAATATTAGTTGACAGTGAAAGTTGTTTAGTTCCCAAACTGAACCTCATTAGCCATAATAACATATTACATTTATAATAATTTTCTGGCTTAGCATCTCCAACTGGATAAGAATTGGTTTCATAGATTGCTGTGTGGTAAGGCTTAACTAGGGAATGCAACAATATAGTTATTCCTTCCTGCTAGCTATCAATAACCTCCCTTTTCTTTTTTTAAATCGATAACCT